CAATTTGTTTCTAGTAAATCAATATATAGAAGTGGAAGAAAACTAGTATTTTTTTATTATTTATGAGCCAAGGACTGGGCTCTGTCCTTCACATAGCTTATCTCATTTCATCATCACAAAACCCTTATGTGGTACAAGTCGTTATTCTCATATTACACATGAGTAAATAAGCCTAGAGGAATCTGGTTAAAATATAAACCAAATCATGTCATGCCTCTACTCAAAACTCTTTAGTGTTATGCTGTCTTATGGTAGCCATTAGCCATATGTATTGAGCTATGAATTGAGATAGGCTGTCAGTGTAAAATACACACTGGATTTAAAAGACTTAAAAGGAGCTCTGGTAATGTAGTACCTAAGGCACTTGACTGCTAACCAGAAGGCTGGCAGTTCAAACCCACCAGCCACTCACCGGTAGGAAGGTTGGGCAATCTACTTCCATAGTGATACCGCCTCAGAAACCCAAGGAGAGGTCTCTATGAGTCGGGTCCGACTCAATGGCACGTGATGACAACAGTAGGAAAATAGAATGTAAAAGGACTTATTAATAATTTTTGGTGTTGACTACATGTTGAAATGATAATATTTTATATTGGGTTAAATAGTAAAAATAATTTCTCCTGTTCCTTTTTTCTTTTTTAATGTTGCTACTGTTGTTGTTGTTGTTGTTATGTGCCGTCGAGTCAGCCCTGACTCATAGCGACCCCTCCTTGGGTTTCCGTGGCAGTATCACTACGGAAGTAGGATTGCCCAACCTTCCTTCCGAGGAGTGGCTGGTGGGTTTGAATGTTGCTACTAGAAAGCTTAAAAATGCTTTGGTAGCTCACATGGTGTTCTGTTGGACAATACTGCTCTAGTGAATTTTCATGTAACTCAGAATGGCCTATAAGGTTGTATATAGTCTGTCCTCTGGTGTCCTTCTGTTACCATCTCTTACTATTTTCCCTCTTGCTTACTCCTCTAGCTCTCCTGTCTGTATCTCAGAAATACCAAGCTATCTCTATCTTCCCAGCCTTTTTATTTGTTGTTTCTGCTGTCTGGATTGCTCTGCCCTCAGATATCTACATTTTCCATTCTTGTTCCTTCTTCAAGTTTTCTTTAAAATGTCACTTTCTCAATGAGACCTATTCTAACTGTGTAAGATTATGGCTTTCTGTCCTAATCTCTGTTTTCCTCATTAGCACTTCACACATTTAGCATACTCTTTATTTTACTTACTGTTTGTCTTCTCCTTTATAATGTGAGCTTCCTGAAAGCAAGATTTTTTGTCAGTTTCAGTAATTGCTGTATTACCAGCATCTTTTGATGCCTGATTTATTGTGGGGCTTTATTTATGTGTCTATGCAGTTGAGCTAATATTTTCTCCTTAGCATCCTACTTTTTCCTTCATGCATTTATGTACTCATTTTTTGAGTACTACTCTGTTCCAAACATTTGAGAATACCCTAGTGTTGCTCTCTTCTAATTGATCCTTTACATTGCTGCCAGGGTGATGCTACTCAAATGCAGATCTGACCATTTAAACCTTAAATCTTTCTCTGTTTTTTCTTTTACAGCCTATAAGATTAAGTCCAAATTCCTAAGCACAGACCACAAAATCTTTTCAAGCTTTTTCAAGATTAAAAGCTTAATCTTTTACCATATATATATATATATATATATATATATATATATACACACACACACACACACACACATGCCACTCCTCGGAAGGAAGATGGGGCAATCTACTTCCGTAGTGATACTGCCTCGGAAACCCAAGGGGGGGGTCACTATGAGTTGAGTTCGACTCGATGGCACAGAACAACAGCAACAACATATATGTGTGTGTGTATATACATATATATATAGGTATATATACACACACACACATATATGTGTGTGTGTGTGTGTGTATATGTTTCACTTCTTTCAGCCGTATTAAAGCAACCTAGTTTCTCAGCCTAACCATTGTCAAGCCTAGAATGCTCTCCTACTCAGTATTGTGACTAGTGCCAGTACTCTTATGACCAATGTCAAACCTCTCCTAAAAAATTAAAAAGTCAAATATAAGAAAAAAAATATAAATAATACAACTGCCCTTTCCTATGTTGTTGTTGTTGTTAAGTGCCGTCGAGTCGTTTCCGACTCATAGCGACCCCATGCACAGCAGAACGAAACACTGCCCGATCCCGCGCCAGCCCCACAATCCCTGCTATACTTGAGCCCATCATCGCAGCCACCATGTCGTCCATCTCGTTGAAGGCCTCCCCCTCTTTCATCGACCCTCCACCCTACCAAGCATGACATCCTTCTCCAGGGAATGGTCCCTTCTTACAACATGACCAAAATGGGTGAGACGAAGTCTGGCCATTCTTGCTTCCATTCTTGCCCTTTCCTATACTGTATACTTATTTAACTTGGGAAGAATAATACAACTTAGCATTTTATATTTAGTATTACCTGGAGCTTCTAAAAGTTACAAATGACTAGTTGAAGCTATTTATTAATAAATCTCATCCAGAAAGAATCACGTGAATCTTCTGATTAGGCTATTAGTATTTAAAGAAGCAACTTTTTGGGTGTAGGAGTATATCATTTCCCCAAATATTTGTAGTTCAGGTATCTTTTTTAATTTAGATTTAGGACCCATCAAACTAAAACTTGATTGCTTCACTTATTTTTTATTTACTTAGTTTCACAAGTATGTATATCTTATGTAATGACAACTCAACAATATAGACAAACTAGGGGGAAGTCTTAAATGCAGATTTCTTTATTTAAAAGTGATTTTTTATTTATATAAACTTCACATAGATAAATGCACACATAGTTAGAACTTAGCTAATAATGTGTCACATTGTTCTACTTTAATGGCAGAATCAAAATATTACATAAATATGTACTTCTTTGATTTCTAACACTGTTAAGTATTTCTCTTAAAAAGTTTCAGGTTTTAAAAATTAACTCTTCTTCTAGGAGAGGGTTAATTAGAGAAGCTTCCTGGAATAGTTATTATATTTTAAGGTTTTTCAATGTGAGACATGAGACAAATCAAAGAAAAGCTGTTTTTATAGCCTTTAATTTTTGTAATCTTTCCAAGACTACATAATATTGAGAAGTAATGAATTTAAGAACTAGGGAAAGTGTAACCATGGGACATTATACTGTTGAACAAAATCAAATAAGTTAGACATTTGCTAAACAATGTAAATTTATTAAGATTGATTTATCTAAACAAATTTTACTTGTGAATTTGAGTACACACTGCAATTCTGCTCTAAAACTTGGTTCTATGAATTACAGAAGTAATATTTAGAGATAATTTTAACAATTGCAGATTTATTGGAAAACATATTAAAAATAAATTTTCCTATGATGCCATTAAAAGTAAACTTATTACTTAGATTTCCTATTTTTTTAGTGTTATAAGAAAACTTACCTTTTTTCCTGATACCATTGCTGGTACAGTCTCTTGGGCAGTGTGTTTCTAATAACAGATTGTTCAGTTAGTGAAATGTTGGCAATGTCAGCTATCTTTACTGAGATCAGAGAGTGTACTTAGTACTGCACGGAACATACTTGCACAGAACAAACTGCACAGCCCCAGGCAGAAGGATATTAGAAAGTTCAAATAACTGACAATTTGGATAAGCTGATTTAAAAAAAAAAATAAATGAATAAGAATGAACAAGGGCAATGAACATTAAGGAATGAAAATATTAATATTTCTGTTTGAAGCTAAAGCTGATACAGTGAATAATGATGGTTTTACAAGATTTTTTAAAGAGAATATAACAGAAAAGGATATAATATCTGTTCAAACAAGAGAACATAATATATAAATCTCTGGAGTACATGTGAGACAGTAGACATCCCAGCAGACCATATACTGGACAAACAATGACTTCACTCTGTAAAGGTCTAGGCTGTGCCACTTTTGATGCTGGGAACAAGAAACAAGGAAATGATATTGAAGAATATTTGGAGAATGTCCTGATGATTAAAGAGTAAAAAAAAGACATAAGTTGAGGAATTTTACTTATAGAAAATCCTCATCAATTTGGACTCCAGAAATTTAGAATTTATAAAAATTCAGTGGCTCTCAAATTTTATGTTACCCATAATACCAGAAACAAACAAAACCCACTGCCATCAAGTCTATTCCAACTCATAGTGACTGCCATTAGGTTTCCAAGGTGGTAAATCTTTACAGAAGTGGATTGCCTGGTCTTCCTTCTGCAGAGTGGCTGGTGGGTTTGAACTGCCCGCCTTCTGGTTAGCAGTCAAATGCCTTGGGCACTATACCACCAGAGATTCTTGTTACACATGATAGTTACATTATTTGAGGAAGGGTATTTAAATGACTTCAAAATAGGCTATTTTCGAGAATTTTCCAATGTCTTAAACATCACTTTACTTTTATGAAACACTCACTAGTGGTGTACTGGATAAGGCATTTAAATGGCTGCTATCTAGAAGGTCAGTGGTTCAAACCCAGCTGCTCTGCAGAAGGAAGATGGGGCAATGTATTTCTGTAAAGATATACAGCCTTGGAAACCCAGTGGGGGTCACTATGCATTGGAATGACTAGATGGCGGTGAGTTCTCATTAACATGGGGTAAAGCCAGTGACCTAAATCCTGATCTCTCTTAAAAAAAAAAAAAAGTAAATTTAGTAAGGAGCACAAATAAAACCTTTTTTGAATTTCTGTTGCAGCATTACTAAGAGATCAAGACTACTGCAAACTCCCAACTTCATGAGATGCCTAGAAATAAGACAAAAGAGAAAAAAATATGCATTGGGCATTAGTTAGTCCAAATAGAATAGCCACCAGATAAGCCTCATTTTTTTCTTTTTAAAATATACTGAAACTCGGGGTATTGATGTACATTAATCATTAATTTAGGATGACAATAGTAATGATAAGTAATATTTCATAATACTTATGAATTCATTTATACCAGCTTTATCTAATTTTTTAAAATACTGTACTAAGTACTTTATTTTTGTTTTTAAAGATATGGATGTAATGAGACCCTTGATAAATGAGCAAAACTTTGATGGCACATCAGATGAAGAAAATGAACAAGAACTCCTTCCTGTTCAGAAGCATTACCAACTTGATGATCATGAGGGCATTTCGTAAGTGTTAAGTCTCTTTTTCTTTTGATTCAGCTTATGTTTATTTTTAATCATCTTCTCCTAGCAAGGAAGGAACTTTACTAGGTACTACAGGAGTCAAAAAGATGAGTAAGACTACGTCTTTGCCCTCACAGAGTTTTATTGTCTATTTGGAAATAAAGAACAAATGTATGTTGTTGTTATTGTTGTTAGGTGCCATCCAGTCGGCTCTGACTCATAGTGACCCTGTGTACAACAGAACAAAACACTGCCCGGTCCTGGGCCAGCCTCACAATGCTTGCGATACCTGAAACCCAGCATTGCAGCCCCTATGTCAGTTCATCTTGTTGAGGGCCTTCCCCTTTTCACTGACCCTCCTCATTACCAAGCATGCTATCTTTTCCAGGGCATGGTTCCTTCTGACAACATGACCAAAATAAGTGAGACAAAATCTGGCCATTCTTGCTTCTAATGAGCACTCTGGTTGCACTTCTAGGACAGATTCGTTCGTTCTTTTGGCAGTCCATAATACTTGCAGTATTCTTCACCAACATCACAACTCAAAAGCATCAGCTCTTCTTCAGTCTTCCTTGTTCATTGTCGAGCTCTCACATTCATGTGAGGTGATTGAAAAAAACATGGCATGGGTTAGGTACACCTTAGTCTTCAAGGAAACATCTTGGCTCTTCAGTACTTTAAAGAGGTCTTTTGCAGCAGATATGCCCGGTGCAGTACATTGTGTGATGTCTTAACTGCTGCTTCCATTGGTGTTGATGGTGGAACCAAGTAATATGAAATCTTTAACAACTTCAGTGTTTTCTCCATTTATCGCAATGCTGCTTATTGGTCCAATTGTGAGGATTTTTGTTTTCTTTATGTTGAGATGTAATCCATACTGCAGATAGTCTTTGATCTTCATCAGTAAGTGCTTCAAGTCATTCTCACTTTCAGCAAGCAAAGTTGTGTTGTTTGCATATTGCAAGTTGTTAATGAGTTTTCCTCCGATCCTGATGCCATGTTCTTCTTCAGATAGTCCAGCTTCTTGGATTATTTGCTCAGCATACAGATTGAATAAGTATGGTGAAAGGGTACAACCCTGACACACTCCCTTCCTGATTTTAAACCATTCATTATCACCTTGTTCTGTTCGAACAACAGCCTGATGAGCACAATCAAGTGTTCTGGAATTCCCATTCATCTTAATGTTATCCATAATTTCTTATGATCCACACAATCAAATGCTTTTGCATAGTCTATAAAACACAAGTAAACATCTTTCTGGTATTCTTTGCTTTCACCCAAGATCCATCTGACATCAGTAATGATATCTCTTGTTCCACATCCTCTTCTGAATCCAGCTTGTATTCCTGGAAGTTCTCTGTCAGAGTACTGCTGCAACCTTTTTTGAATTGTCTTCAGCAAGATTTTACTTGCATGTGATATTCATGATATTGTTCAATAATTTTCACATTCTATGGGATCAGCTTTCTTTGGAATGGGTACAAATATGAATCTCTTCTGGTCAGTTGGCCAGGTAGCTGTCTTCCAAATTTCTTGGCATAACTTAGTGAGCGCCTCCAATGGGGCATCTGTTTGTTGAAACATCTCAGTGGGTATTCCATCAATTCCTAGAGCCTTGTTTTTTTGCCAGTTCCTTCAGTGTAGCTTCAACCTCTTCCTTTAATACCATTGGTTCTCGATCAGATGGCATCTCCTGAAATGGATGAACATTGACCAGTTCTTTTTGGTACAGTGACTGTATATTCCTTCCTTCTTTTAATGTTCCCTATATCATTCAGTATTTTCCCTGTAGACTCTTTCAGTATTTTAACTCGAGGCTTGAAGCTTTTCTTCAGTCTTTCAACTTGAGAAATGATGAGCATGTTCTTCCCTTTTGGTTTTCTAACTCCAAATCTTTGTATATTTCATCATCATAATTGAATTCGTCTTCTCGAGCTGCTCATTGAAATCATCTGTTCTTGTCATTACTTCCATTTGCTTTAGCTATTCTCCATTCAAGGGCAACTTTTGGAGTCTCTTCTGACATCCATTTTATTTTTTTCTTCTTTTTCTGTCTCTTTAATGACCTGTTGCTTTTTCCATGGATGATATCCTTAACATCATCCCACAATTCCTCTAGTTTTCGGTCATTGGTGTTCAATGCATCAAATCTATTCTTTAGATGGTCTCTAAATTCAGGAATGATATATTCAAGGTCATATTTTGGCTCTCATGGACTTGTTTAATTGTGTTAAGCTTCAGCTTGAACTTGCATTTGAGCAGCTGAGGTATGTTCTGTGGTCAGCTCCTGTCCTTGCTGTGGCCGAAGATATTGAACTTCTCCATTGCCTCTTTCCACAGATGTAGTTGATTTGATTCCTGTGTACTCCATCTGGTGAAGTCCACATGTATAGCTGCTGTTCATGTTGTTGAAAACAGTTATTAACAATGAATGTCATTGGTCTTGGAAAATTCTTTCATATGATCTCTAGCGTTATTTCTGACACCAAGGCTGTATTTTCCTCCTACTGGTGATTCTTCTTTGTTTCCAACTTTTGCATTCCATTCATCAGTGATAACCAACACATCTTGATTGGTGAATTTCAGACTGCATAGGTTGGTAAAAATCTTCAGTTTCCTCATCTCTGGCTTTGGTGGTTGGTGTGTAAATTTGAATAATAGTAGTATTAACTGGTGTTTCTTGTAGACATATGGATATTTTCCTATCACTGACAACATCGTACTTCAGGATAGATCTTGAAACATTCTTTGAGACGATGAATGCCACGCCATTCCTCTTCAGTTTGTCATTCCCAGCATAGTAGATCAAGGGGTTGTCTGATTCACAATGGCCTAGACCAGTCCATTTTAGCTTACTAATGCCTAGTATATCAGACTTTATGCATTCCATTTCATTTTTGACAATTTCCAGTTTTCCTAGATTCATACTTCGTACATTACGTGTTCCAATTATTAATGGATGTTTGCAGTTGTTTCTTCCTATTTTGAATTGTGCCACATTGGCAAATGGAGGTCCTGAAAACTTTACTCCATCCACATTGTTAAAGTTGGCTCTACTCTGAGGAGGCAGCTCTTCCCCAGTCGTATTTTGAGTGCCTTCCGACCTGAGGGGCTCACCTTCTGGCACTATATCAGTCATCGTTCCAGGGCTATTCATAAAGTTGCACAGTAATATATCAGACAGTATTTCACTGCTATTCATAAGGTTTTCACTGGCTAATTCTTTGAGGATTGGATGGCCCCTTCCTTTTTCCAAGTCTGTCTTAGTCTGGAAGCTCAGCTGAAACTTGTCCACCATGGGTGATCCTTCTGATATTTAAAATACTGGTGGTATAGCCTCCAGCCTCAAGCGACACACAAGCCACCACAGTGTGACAAACTGACACACGAGTGGTGAAAGGTACTACAGGAGTCAGAAAGATGAGTAAGGCTAAGTCTTTACCCTCAGAGAGTTTTATTGTCCTTTTGGGAATAAAGAACAAACATACAAAATGTCTATTATAATGATCATGTAAATCAAATGCTATGACTCTTGAAAGGACAGAGATCTATAAGGAGGGTATAAAGGGAATGTTAAGGGAAGTGGCTTTTAAAATAGAATTTAGATAATGGGAAGTAATAAACACTTCTTTGTGCTGAAAGCATGCTGTGACACTAAGTAATGAGATAGGAGAGCCCATAAACTTTTTTTTAAAACCTCCACCCGCACCCCCAACCTTTTTTTTTTTTTTTTTTACATTTTTGTCATCAATAGTTTTGAATAAGGTTTTAATCTAATAGCAAGCTAAAGATTATACAAAGTAAAGCTAAGTTTAATCAGAATTGTATAAACTGAAAACAAATTTTAGGCAAACATGTTTGTTTCATAAGTTTAAATGCTGTGGTATTCTTTTTGGTCAAAAGACTGCCTTCAAATGCCTCCTGGAAACTTTTCGTAGGTCAAATCTCTTAGGAGATTCACGATGTCAAAAAATTAATTAGTATTTATCTTAATGATATATACTTAGTTTTCAAACGTATGTTTTTTTCTTTTAATTAATTTCATATAAAGTTGATAATCATAGATCAAATGTCTAATACCTGGAGTACATGACAGTATCACTAAATACCTCTCTTACCAGCCTGTGTATAAATAATCTTCAGCATTGTTCTGAATCGAAGCTGTTATGGTACATACATTTTAACATAAAATAATCTAATGAGAAAATTGCTTTATTTTCATTAATTTACTATGCTCAAAAATTTTTTACTTAGATATCTCATTAATTTCCACAGTAGCCCTTTGTATCCTACTATTAAATGGCAAAGATAGGACGTGAACCAAGTATGACTTCTACACTTAGTGGTTGAACAGAAATGTTACTTGGTTACTTGTCTAGATGAATTATCAATTCCCTTCTAATGCTTAGGCCACAATTGTATGATTTTCATAGATTTTGTTTTAAAATATTTAAATCTTATAACTTACTTTTCAGGTTTGTACAGACTCTTATGCATCTCCTTAAAGGAAATATTGGAACTGGTCTTTTAGGACTTCCATTGGCAATAAAAAATGCAGGCATAGTGGTAAGACTATCTTTGTAATCTCAATTAAGGTACAGTAATCAGTCTCATTTACACATTACTATAAGCTAACATCTGTCCTGCCTTTAGTATTTGATCAAATAAAACTTGGTCAGGTGACAACTGAATGATCATTTAGCTATTTTATTTTATTTTATTATAATTTTTATTGTGATTTGGGTGAAAGCTTGCAGAGCAAATTCATTTTCCATACAGCAGTTCATACACATTTTGTCTCATGACATCAACTGCAATTCCCCACAGTGTAACAGCTCTCTTCCCACTTCCCTCCTCATACTTACCTGTTTCCTATGTCCTTCCCTCCCATGTACTCCCACCCCCTGAGCTGTCTCCCTGTGTAAACACTGCCCTTCTATTCTCCCATGATTGATCACTCCAAGAAGTATATCTACCTGATGTAAATGTTAAGCCCATATGCCTGTCTATTACTTGGCTGAAAACCACAGGAATGAGTTCAGTTCCAGACCTGAGGGGTAGCTAGTCTCAGGGGTTTCACCAGGCTCTGTCAGACCAGCAAACCTGGTCTTTTTTTGTGATTTTGTGTTTTTTTCCACAATGAACTCCCACTTTATCTAAAATCTCCTGTGCTGATCCCCCTCTGAGTGGATAGCTAGGTACCTTCTAGTTATTCTGGTCTCAGGGTCATATAGGCTGAGGATCTCATGGTCTACCAGTCCGTTGGACTAGTTGTTTCTATGCATCTTTGGTTTTCCTCATTCTTCTTTGCTCCAGACAGGGAGAGACCCATCGTTGCATCTAGATGGCTGCTCACAAGCATTTAAGACTCCAGTTGCTACTCACCAAAGTAGGATGTAGAACAATGGTTTTGTGTAGTATGTTATGCCAGTTGAGCTTAATGCCGCCTGTAACCATGGTTCCAAGTCCAGAGGTCCAACCCCTCACTCCCTGTGGGTAGGTGACTGTGGCCAAGAAGACATCACAAACTTGTCCCATGTCAGTTCTACTCTGCACCTGGACATTCCTACAGCCCATACAGATATGCCTGGAGAGACATCGTCTGCCAACCCTATACATGGTTATGGGCACACTACCCCTTGCCTAGACATACTTGATCATTCAGCCTGTCCACCCATCTATCTGTCATAGATCAGTGCTTGCCGTCATTGACAACACAGTACTGTATGTGCAACGGGTTCATCTTTGTTGTCTGTACCTCCCATGTACCTCTCTATGTGTTCTTTTTCCTCAGTGCCACCGTGTTGATCACTCATTTGGTATATTGCCCTTCTCTTCACCCAAATCAATACTTGTCTCTACCTAGCTAATAGTGTTCCCTTTCCTCCTCTCCCACCCCTGGAAACCAACAAAAAAAGTTTCCTTCCATATATAAATCTTTCTTTGACTTTTTACAACAATCAACTAATAATGTTTGTCCTTCTGTGATGGCTTATTTCACTCGGCATTAGTCCTCCAGGTTCATCCACCTTATGCTGTGTTTTGTAGATTCTACATTATTTTTTAGTGTTCCATAGTATTCCATTGTGTGTATATACCATAGTTTGGTTATCCATTCTTCTCTTGATGGGCACATAGGTTGTTTCCATCTTTTTGCTATTGTAAATAGTGCTGCAATGAACATGGGTATGCATATATCTTTTTTTGGCCTGGCTCTCACTTCTTTAGGATATATACTTAGTAATGGGACTGCTGGATCAAATGGTATTTTTAATTCCATCTTTTTTAAGGAATCACCATATTGTTTTCCACAGTGGTTGTATTATTTTACTTTCCCACCAGCAGTGTATGAGAGTCCCAATCTCTCCACATCCTCACCAGCATTTGTTATTTTCTGTCTTGTTGAACTTTGCTACTAGTGCTGGGGCCAGATGGTATCTCGTTGTTTTGATTTGGATCTCTCTGATGGCTAATGATCATGAACGTTTCTTCATGTGTTTGTTGGCTGCCCAAATATCCTTTTTGGTGAAGTGTCTATTCATGTCTTCTGCCCATTTTTAAATTGGATTGTTAATGTTTTTGTTGCTGAGGTGTTGGAGTTTTCTATAAATTTTAGAGGTAAGTCTCTTGTCAGATATGTAATTATCGACAAGTATTAATTTGTTGCTGTCATTTTGTTATGTGCTTTTTCGTGGTGTTAATTTCTTAGTTACATATAATTTTCTGTGCTAAGCTTGTTTTCTTTATGAGTAGTGTTATCACTTCCTTCGTTGCTATTGGTTTGGTATTTGTTAAGTATTTGTGCTGGTCCTCTTTTTTATTTTGATGAAGGTTTATCATTTTTCTAGTAGGTTACCCTGTGATTTATAATTTTCTTCCCAAGTTTAGAACAGTCAGCTCTATCTTGCAATTGTCTTGACCCTTTAGAAGTTCTGTAACTACACAATTTTTTTCCCTCTTTTTGGTTTGTAGTTGTTGTCATTTGTCAATTGATGTCTCTGGTTCCCTGTGTACAATCTTGTAGGCATATTTACTTTGGATACTTCCATAACTGGATTGGTTTCTCGGTTATGTCATCATGTGTGTTAATGGTTAGTTGTTTGCTGTAGTTGGCTCTCTGTCCAAAGGGCTCCCTTTAGCATCTCTTGTGAGGCTGGTCTGGTTTTAACAGATTCCTTTAGTTTCTGGTTGTCTGGAAATCTCCTAATTTTGCCATCATATTTGAGGGACAATTTTGCTGGGTATATAATTCTTGGTTGGAAATTTTTCTCTTTCAGGGTTTTATATATCCCATCCCATTGTCTTCCCACCTGCATGGTTTCTGCCGAGAAATCTGAACTTAGTCTTCTTGGTTGCCCCTTGTAGGTAACTTTTTGTTTTTCCCGTGCTGCTTTCAGGATTCTTTCTTTTGTCTTTGGTTTTGGTGAGTTTGATGATGATATGTCTTGGTGATTTTCTTTTGGAGTCTGTCTTGTTTGGGGTTCGTTGAACTTCTTGTATGGATATATTCTCATCTTTCATCATACCAGAGAAATTCTTTTCCAACAAATCTTTGACAATTTTCTCTCTAGTTTTATTTGTCTCTTCCTGTTTTGGAATTCCGATGATGTGTAGGTTACTTCTTTTGGTGGTATCCCACATGATCCTTAGGCTTTCTTCATTTTGTTTTAACCTTTTTTCTGATTGATCCCTTTCCAAAGAAGTATTCAGGTATTTGTCTTCAATCTCACTAATTCTGTCTTCCATTGATTCAGTTCTACTCCTTTGCCTATTCAATGTGTTATCTACTTCTGAAAATTTGTTATTCATCTTCTGGATTTCTCTCTGTAGATTTTGTATCATTTCTAATTTTTCATTTATTTTGTCATTTTGTTCTTGTGTTGTCTTTTGAAATTGTTCTAGAGTTTCCTCTGTGTTTTCCTCGATCTGTCTCTCAGTGTGTTGAAGGTACTTAAATATAATTCTTTTGAATTCCTTATAAGGGAGTTCTAATGCTGCTTCTTCCTCAGGGATGTGTTTTGGGCCTGTATCCTGGTGCCTTGTTTCTCCTGCTTTATCTTCCTTCTTTGTGTGGATTGTGATGCTCTATTGTCTCTGAGCCAGTGTGATGTTTTTGTGTCTATATTTAATTAGTGATTGTATGTTGGAGTGACTAGCCCATGATTTTCATTTTCTTTGGATGTTATCTACGTAAGCAGAGTACTGTGTTCCTCTGTTTGCTAGTTGGCAGCACTTATACGCTCACCACCTGTCTCCTTTCCCATTGTCAGCTTTCTGTGTGTCCCTGCCATCCTTGGCAAATGGACCCTATTCTTAGGTCCTGTTTTCATTCATGTTTTTCCACTAGTTGGTGGGTAATCCACTTCTGTGTACTTCCTTTCAAAGCTCAGGGCTCCAGGATTATCTTCTGTATCTCTGTTAACTGGTTTCTCTTTTCTTTGTTGAAGAGTATCTGTGTAGCTTGTCTGCCTATTTCACCATCTTACTGGAATAGTTCTTGAAAATTTTTAGTAAGTAAATATGTCAGATGTTTTGTGTATCATTTCTTCAAATAGTTATTTTTTAATGTAAAATGTTAGCATACATTTAAACTTAATGTGAGTAGAAAGCATGATCGCTTTACCTCTTACATTTACTTCCAAGCACAGTTACTTTCATATAGTAAATGCCTAACAAATAGCTTACAGAAGTGTAGGTTGCCCACAATCCCAGTTTGATATAATGCTTCTTAGTAATTTAGAATAATGATTTATGGTTGTCTGTAATTATAATAATAGGGACTGGCAGTCATAGAGTTGCCCAAAAAAACAAACTCCCTCCTATGGAGTTGGATCCGACTCACAGCAACCCCTCCTTGGGTTTCCGAGATGGTATGACTACAGAAGTAGATTGCCCAACCTTCCTTCCGAGGAGTGGCTGGTGGGTTTGAACTGCTAGTCTTCTGGTTAGCAGTCAAATGCCTTAGGCACTACACTACCAGAGTTCTTCATAGAGTTGCCATCTGATGTTAAATAAAATGTTTCTATCCTACTTTGTTGCATATCTGTACTCTATAGATTTGAGTATCCAAATTGATTATATGGAAAGTTACATGGTTTTCTATTACATGAAATTCTTCCTGTATGTGACTTTTTAAATTCTCTTTTAAAGAAATTAAACATTTTCATCAACAGATACTTAATCACTGCAAATGAGTAGTTCCTTATCTTACTGCTTTTAAGGCAATTGACTTTTTGTGAAACTTAAATATTTGACCTTTATGTAATAAATTTTCTTTCGCACAGCTTGGACCAATCAGCCTTGTGTTTATAGGAATTATTTCTGTTCACTGTATGCACATACTGGTACGTTGCAGTCACTTTCTATGTCAGAGGTAAATGTGGATTTGTTAACTCTATTTATTTAAAGCTATTTATTTATATTAAAGTATCAGATAGCGTTGTATTTGTACTGTGCTTTGCAATCAGATGTTGTATTTTCTGAAGTCTGTTGTGTAGATGGGTCTAAAATGATAAATGTAGGAAAGAGCCATACTTTTATGATTTAAACCTAGTCATATTCTACTTCCTCCTATTAAAATATAGCCTTATTCAAAAAAACCAAACCAAACCCGTTGCTAACGAGTTGATTCTGACTCATAGTGACCCTCATTCTATTTCCGAGATGGTAAATCTTTTTGGATTGGGTTCCATCTTCCTTCCGGGGAGCGGCTGTTGGGTTTGAACTGCCAGTCTTCTGGTTAGCAGTCAAATACCTTAGGCACTGCACCACCAGAGTTCCTTATAGCCTTATTAGTAAAAAGTATTCATTTATTTATTATAAATGGAAAAAAAAAACAGGAAAGATATATGGGAAAAATGGAAGCAGCATTATGACTATTAATTTGTCGGTAACTTAGTTTTGGGCTACCCTATACATAAGTGCGTTTGATGCTATTTGATGTATATGTAATTTAGATAGTCAATAAAATCATATTTTTGTTTCTTCTTGTGTATCATGACTTGCTCTACTGGACAGTGGAGCAACTGTGTGTGTTGTGTGTTAAGTATTGCTTATTATAGTACACTAGTATTCTAATCTTGATTCTTTTTTTTTTTAATGCTCTTAAAATTTTGGGCAAGTCATGATCTTTAAAGTAAAATATGTACTTGAAAAAATAGAAGGAGACTAGGGAAATAATACCTACTTTATGGAACTACTCTGAGAATTAAATATGAGATAGTTTATGTGAAAGAATGTTGTGAAGCCCTTTAGAGGTGTAATATATTATTAAATCATGTGCTTCTGAAAACTGAATAATTTAAACATGAACAATGTAGTTGGTGCTTTTAGGTAATTGAAATATTTAAATCAGTGAACTACAAATACTAGGTTACACAAAATCTACAGCTATAGTAACTTTGTTGTTGTTGTTGTTATGTGCCGTCGAGTCAAACCCGACTCATAGCGACCCCTCCTTGGGTTTCCGAGGCAGTATCACTACGGAAGTAGGATTGCCCAACCTTCCTTCCGAGGACAGTCAGTAAAAACTAGTATGGTGGTAAAAAGAACAGATAATACAATTAAAAAATTTCATGAGAAATATTTTAGGAGAGAGAGAGAATTCATGTAAATCATAAAATTACAAAAGCCTGCTCTGTCGTGGCACATCCCTAAATTCATTAATTCTCATTTATTTTGTTCTTTTCAAGATAGGGTTTGATGGACCAATTTAATATTTTTCTTTGATAAGTATATTGTTAAATTACAGGTTTAAAAAATCAACATTAAGTTATAGTGACACTGTGAGTTTTGCTATGGAAGTGAGCCCATGGAGTTGTCTTCAGAAGCAAGCATCATGGGGACGGTAAGTACTTGCTATTCTATGAATATCTATATGGTTGTCAAGATTATTTTAATTTATAGGTATTTTAATCTGATAAGGTATGTAAATAGAAGTATGATAGGATTGAGGGAATAAACAAAATACTTTTATAGTTAGACATACTTGGATTAAAATATCAACTCTATCAGTTTCCAGTATTATGACTTTGGTCAAATTATTTATCCTTTTGTTTTGTTGTAAATGAAAAAAATAAGGAAATAAGATATAATTATACCCATATCACAGGATTATTATAGTAGATTAAATGATATTTACAAAGCACCTGGTCAATTTATGATATAATAAGGTTCAGTAAGTTTGTTTTTTTTTTAATGAGGAAAAAATAAAGTATTGTGATCTCATTCTTTCAGATAAAGTTATGGTGTTTATCTATATGCTTATAGGACATCTGAGGTATTGCTATATTTTTGCATAACCCCAACTTATTATTGTTTAAATATAACTCTTATCATTGGTGGATATGGCTAATGAAGGTCAGGTGAACACCCAAACTCGGTGCTGTTGAGTTGATTCCATCTCACAGCAACCCTATAGGACAAAGTATAACTGCCTCATAAGGTTTCCTAGGCTATAAATATGTATGGAGACAGATTGCCACACCCATGTCTCATGAAGCTGCAGGTGATTTTGAACCACTGACTTTTTGGTAGCAGCTGAGTACTTTAACCAGTGTGCCACAAGGGTTCTTCTCAAGTGGACATAGAATTGGAAAAATAAGGAAGCATAGGCAATCAACAGAGTTCTAACTATGGTTCAAATCATATGTGCTATGTGAATTAAAAGAAGAAAAAAGAACAGTGTGAGTAGAGTAATATATGATTAAATATAGCCTTTCTAGGAATTTTCAAGAATTTGTTTCTGAACTGCTCAGAGTTCACGATAAGCTGAGTATGAGATAGAAGGAAACAGAACCTAATGTCTCAGAACTTGCCCCTAGAGCCCCATCCTGCCCTTCCCTCTGCCCAGTCTAAAGATAGCTTTTTCTTTTTTTTTTTTTTTCTATGAGGAAGAATGGCTTTCAAATAACAATTGCTGGAATGGTTATTGGTAGGACCCTAAAATCAAAGGTGGATGAAACCATAGTAAGAAAATCCATTGATGTTATTTATCAAGAGAGGAGAGTTGAATTCATTTTAGGGTACCAAGAAAAGTTACAAATGAAATCCCAGAATAATTGTGGAGAACAGACGAGTTATGGCAAGAATGAAGAAACAAACCTCTTCCAGTTTCAAATGGGGGAAGGAGAATCTGTAGCTTTTGTAGACTAAATTGTTTGACCACTTGACCTTGATGGTCAGACACAGAGATTCAAATTAGTTATTAAGTGCATGCTGTTGTAGTCACTTGTTGTTCCCAGAACAAAATAGGGAAGTTTGGGGTATATATTAATAACATGTAGGCAAATTTTTAACTTGTTATACCACTATACCCAAATAATGTTAATTTGTCTGATACCTCTGGTGATACCTCTTCCCTACTCCCCTATATTATTTTATGTAACTTAAATTTTCTAGAGTAACTTATTTAAAAATAACAGAAAAGAAGCTACTAAAGATACTTCTGGTGGTGTGCTTAGGACCAGGCCCCCCTAGTTTTCCCCCATTCCATATTCTTATTAGTAATTTAGGTAGTAGAGGGCATGCTCATCATATTTGCAAATTACATGAAGCTAGAGGGATGGAAAATACACTGGGTTGATCTGAAAGAAATATTAGGAAGTGGAAAAATGCACTTAATCTAAAAGGCAAAATGTTTTTATGAAACCATTTTATAAGCATATACCTATTTATGCTTCAAGGAGCTCTGGTAGCACTTGACTGCTCACCAGAAGGCTGGCGGTTCAAACCCACCAGCCACTCCTTGGAAGGAAGGTTGGGCAATCCTACTTCCGTAGTGATAATGCCTCGGAAACCCAAGGAGGGGTCACTATGAGTCGGGGCCGACTCGACGGCAAACAACAACAACAATTTATGCTTCAACTACTGAATTAAAAACAGATAATATCTTAGCCTTTTAACTTAATGGAACATCCTTTTGCTCTGTAATAATTCTAGTGACATACTGACCATAAATATAGATCTTTGTAAAAAAAACCAAAAAACTAAAAACCAAATGCACTGCCATCAAGTTGATTCTGACTCATCGTTACCCCCATTGGATTTCTGAGGCGGTAAATTTTTACAGAAGTAGATTGCCCAGTCTTACTTCTGTGGAATGGCTGGTGGGTTTGAACCACCAGCCTTCTGCTTAGCAGTCAGATGGCTTAGGCACTGTACCACCAGAGCTCCAAAATAAAATTCTCATTTTGTGAAAAATAGGTATTTTAAATGTTTCTTACTTTAAGGAAATAAAAAGAATATACACTATTATAAAATGTTTTTAAACAGTTAACAAGAGAAATAAAGTATGTTGACATTTCAGCAGCCCTTATTGATACTTATTTGTAGTTGAATCTCTTTTCAGGAGTGTGGTTGACTTTTTTCTGGTGATAACACAGCTGGGATTCTGTAGTGTTTATATTGTCTTCTTAGCTGAAAATGTGAAGCAAGTGAGTATTCCCCCAGTTACTGAAACTGTTTTCTTCTCGCACCTTAGGTGTGGCATCATATTTCCTCTATGAAAGCCATATTTGAATATGAAAATATGTTCCTTTCATAAATGATGTTTCTTTGTAAAGTCTCCTTTGTCATCTTTTTTACAAGTTGGATTTCTGCTGTTATTGTTAATTTTACTGTTCTTGCCATAATATCAATAATTCTTGTTCTTTTAGATCAGAACATGACATAAATTACTGAATCTCAAAAGAGGTTTTAGGAGTATTATCTTCACATCAGCATCCTATAAAGAAATACATAAGACTTCAGCTGGCAGCCTAAAAAGTGAATAAAAAAGAAGGCATTACTAAAATCTAATAGTTATTGCCATTGTTTAAAAAGTCACTATGTCTAGAAAGGTGCAGTTTTCCATGATTCTCTCCATTATGGCTGTTTGCTTTAAGAGGAAGTGGTTTGCCACCTTTGTAGAGACTGACAGCCTATTTGAACAAACAAAATACTGAAATCAAACTTTCTTCTGTCTAATGCCAAACCACTTTTTTTTTTTTGGTAACTAGTAGATTGTTTTTATATTCCTAAGTTACTCCCTGATTTTCTTTAAAGATTATTTTCAGCAATAACATTTATTAATTATCCACATGTGCATGGTGCTACTATACATAGTAAAATACAATACTTGTGGGTGTTTTCATGCAAAATGGTGATGTGACTATATTTTCTAAAGAACTATTTGTTGTTG